AAAGGAACTGCTATCAGGAAAAAGTATGAATGGCATGTGGATAACTACATCTCACCATTATTAACAAGCAAGATGCAGAGATGGCCTGGCATGTACAAGAGGCCGCCATTAGAATTTCCCTTGAATGTGGGGACACAGCAACCAGGATAGTAACATTAAAAAGGTGGGACAAGTTAGACTGCAAAAGCTCTTGAATCCAAACTAAACATAACTAGTGCCACCTGGAGTTCAACATGCAAACTGCAATAGTGGTACTGTATACCAAGGGTAACCCTTTCCCTTAAGCCTCCCCTTTCCCTAGACATTAAAGTTTGGCTCCCAAGTCCACCATCCTCCAACAGAGTCAAAGCCTAGAAGGCAGAACTACTCACTTCTACCAGATGGTTGTCTGGCCCATATAGGTCTTTGTCCAGTTCAATCACCAAGGACTTAAAAAAGGAAGAAAACTTCCTCTTTTGTTTGGTGGCATCATATTTGGACAAGGCTGACTAGAGGAGAGAGACGAAAAGTCATGTTAGAAAAGGCCAGAAGAAATTTCCCAACACAAAGTCCTATAAAAAATGAACCCTCAAGAGCAATGGGAAAAGACTAAAAAATATCTTCTGAATATCTCTTAGGAGATGGCATAGTAGGCATCTGTGGATATTAAACCAGTCATGGTAGCAACAGAACCCTGAGGAAGCAGCCTATAACAAATACAGGGTCACTGACTTACCCACCTCATTTGCCCAAGGGAAATGAGGCAAGTTAAGCCAAATCGTTGCACATAATAAAGCAAGTTTGAACAGAGAAAAGTCTGACTTTAGAGGGGAAATGAATCACAGGCAACAAGCAGCCAGAACAAAAACAGCTTTATTTGGACAGAATGACACCACCAGCAGATGGACTGGACCTATATAGAGAAGAAGGAGGCTTTGACACTGAGCTCTGGTTCTCCTGCAAAATTGCATTCAAATAAGCTTGCCGTGAGCAACTAAAAATAGAAAGCCAGAAAATGTAAGGGAACGAGAGAAAGGTGAGCTTCCCCAAGGAGCTGCTGGGGGGGAGAGGAGTTTGGGGGCTACCACCCATCAGCAGATGCTCCCCATAAAGCAACAAAGAGCCTGTCAGAGAAGTCTATCCTACTTAAACCGTGGAGTGTCTCCAATGAACGCTGAAAAGATGGAGGTGCCACAGTGGGAATTAAGGACCTCAAGGACTCAGAGAGGAAACATGGCCTCAAATGCTAAGTACAAACTGACTTGATTTAATAAAAAAAACTGAACTAAATGATTTGCAGATACTGCTAAATCTAGTAACTAGGAGGAAGGTAAACAACAAATCAGATCCCAGGACAATAAGGTTCTTGATATGACACCAGTGAGGGCCAAAGCTGTGAGAGCCAAACACAAAGGACCATTGTCTTTCAATGCAGTGAACAGAGTATCCCTCTCCCTCCTGCTCCCAATAGGAGCTGTGAGCACCAGTCAGGCTTCCTGCTGACCAGACAACACTGCTTATCCCAGAAGCTCCCACCCTAAACACCAACCATGGTGGACCTTGAACTCACATCTTCCAGGAGCCGTCCTTCTACCCGAAGCTCCCAGGAAGCCACCGTCCCTTCCCCATCCTCGGCATCTGACTTAGCCGGATTGAAAGTGTTAGAAATGAAAATTCGCAGCTTCCGTTTTTGCTGAGGAAGGCAGAAACAGTATTGATGGTGGGGCTTCAATGGTTTGATGTTGAAGACAATGGTCTCCCCAAACCCCAAAATTACTCCTAACAGACTGGTCTACTGTCTACCCAGTCCCTCGGGTGAGTGGATAAAGATTCCATTTAGAAGAGGAGTACAGGCTACTGGCCTTAGTACAAGTGTGTACACTGGGATGCCAGGTGGACAAAGTCATGCAAGGTGCCAGATTCCCAAGGTAGCAGAGCAGTTACAGAAAATACATGGACAGTATATTTCTGGTGCAAGAGACATCAAAAGCTCCTCCCCCTTTGCCATTCTGTTCTTATGCTTCTAATGTAATTCTCAGTTTGTAGGCGGAAGGGAGAGATGCAATTTAAATGCCAAACAGAGCTGTGTTGCGCCTTTGATTTCTCATCCTAAGCCTGCTGAAGGTTCCTGAGTCCTCTCCTTTGGCTCTCTGCCTAGTGCTTTTCTGTGTTACCTTGATAGGACGTTTCAAGGCCTCCTGGATATCTAGCCGTTTCCTCATGATAGTCTGGTCCAGTTTCCTTTCAAAAGCCAAGAGATCCATATAGGCCTGGGATTCTGGTACCAGTTCACGAATCTTAGGAACAGAAAAATATAATCGGGATCTAGAGATGATCACCTCTATTCTGAAACTCACCACATCTTCAAGACCTATAGCCTGGACTCACCCTTTGAGGTAGAATTTTGTCAGCCATCTTCTTTTTCTTTGCACTGTTTGGAATAAATACTATTATCAGGTTGGGATAGAACTAATCAGAACATGAAAATAAGCTGTGAGCACCTCTATTTATACTAAAGCGAAGGGACCGTAAATCTTCCCTCAAATCAAAGAAACCTCCCCCGCCCCAACACCACCACAAGACACTCTCAAAGATGAGTCTTGCAGCACCATCTGCTGACACAGCACCACCACTTCTTGATTCAGATACACCCACCACCTGCTGCCTCCTCCCTTCCTCCTTCCCTCCCTCTGCCCCAAGGGGTCACCTTACTTGTGGTTTCGATTTTGGACCGCCTGCTGCTGGACCTGCTGGATCTGCTGAGGCGCAGGTCTCTTGCGGGATTGGTCCATCCCTGACTGGGCCAGGCCAGGTCGGACTGAAGGGTTCCCCCCATAGCCAGGGGGTCCCATGGAAGGTCCCTGAGGTGTCATTCGGCTGCCTGGCAGCATACCTGGTCTCTACAGAGAGGAGAGGACCCAGAGATGTCATGGTTTCCCCTGCTAACCCTACCAAGAAAGGGAAAGTGGGGGATGTCGGGAGTTTTGAATGAAACAAGGAGAGGGGGGTGGAGGACAATGACAGGAGAGCCCTCTGCCTCCTTGAAATATAGGTAACTGGAGCTTTCTTCTGCTCCGGTAGTGATCCCATAGAAAAATAGGGTCTAAAAACTAAGAGACAGAGCATACTCAAATTATCCCCAATCTATCTTCGAAATGACCTATCAGACATTCCTAGTCTCACATTTACTCTGCTAGCTACTATCTCCTTAGAAGCTGACCTCAATTTACCAGCTACACCTTCTGTGTTCCTCCGAGCATTGGAACTGCTCCAGCTCCTTTGCACTGCAGCCCTCATACGCCCATCCCTAGCCCCGCTTCACCCACCCTGGTTCTCTACTGACTCTCCACGGAAACAATGCCTCTAAGAGCAGGTGGGGAGGCAGTTAGCATTCCTCCGCACAGCCTCCCCCGCCCCCACCCAGGGCACAAACCCCTCCCAGGGGAGTCCCTCCTACTTCTCCCCCCACTCCTGACACTCCCAGGCCCCCGCTCGGCCCCGCCCCTGGCCCGCGCGCCCCTCCTCCTGCCCCACTCACCGGATAGGCCGCTCCGGGCATAGGGGAGCGGTACAGCCCTTGACCGGGCGCCGGGCCCATTCGCACGGGAGGCCCCGGAGTCCCGCCCGGGCCCAGTGCAGCCGCCGCGCCCGCCCCACCAGAGGCTCCGGCGCCGGCGCTCGGAGCCACAGACTGGAAACCAGCCCGGGCCGCCATCTTCCCGGAGCCGCCGCTGCAGCTGCACAAAGAACCGGAACCGGAACTCCCCCCGCCCCCCAAGCGCCCCCCAAGCGCCTGCCTGTTCGCCGGGCCAGCCGGCCGGCGCGGGAGGCTCAGGGCATCGAGACTGTGGGCTAGAGGGGGGCGACTAGCGGAAAAGCGTACTGGCCACTCCCTCCCGCCTTCACGGTCCGGGAGGGAAAACCATAGAGAAGAGCTGTAGGATAGAGAGGCCTCGTGAGCGGGCGCCCCCAGGCCGACGGGAGGAAGACAAGGACCTGGAAAGAGGGACCACAGCCCCAGTCAGGGTCCCATCCCTTACTCCAGCCCTCGGATGAAGAGGTCGTTGGAGTAACGGCTTCATCTTGGTGCAGTGCATTTAACTTTCTAAAGCGCTTTGATTGCTCTTCGTTTCATTCTCTTACTGCTATAACCATGGGGGCTGAAGAGAGGAACGTACTGTTTATTCCATTCCACAAATGGGAAAGCTGAACTCAAGGAAATGACTTGTCAAAGGTCAACCAGCAAGTTAGCAGTAAAGTCAAAACCAAGAATCCAGATCTCCTGGCTCATAGCCCGGGACTCATTCCACAGATAAAATGTTTAGATAACGGCTGTACGCGGTGGCTCACGCCTGTAATCCTAGCACTCTGAGAGGCCGAGGCCGGCGGATTGCTCAGTCAGGAGTTCGAAACCACCCTGAGTGAGACCCGTCTCTACTAAAAATAGAAAAAAATTAATTGATCAACTAAAAATATATATACAAAAAATTAGCCGGGCATGGTGGCGCATGGCTGTAGTCCCAGCTACACGGGAGGCTGAGGCAGTAGGATCACTGGAGCCCAGGAGATTGAGGTTTCTGTGAGCGAGGCTGAGGCTGACGCCACAGCACTCACTCTAGCCTGGGCAACAAAGTGAGACTTTGTCTCAAAAAAAAAAAAATGTTTCGATAACTACCACATGTGGGAACTTTGACCCAACTCTGTCTTTGAAGTTTAACCCAAACCACTTCCAGATTTTAAGTTCCAGTTTATCTTAACTTTGGTCTTGCCCACTCTCCAAAGAAGAGAGTGTTGGGACTTAAGTTTGAGGTCTAGGTTGCCTTTGACCCCTCCCTCTTTCCCTGCCTAATGGTTTAAACCATTTTTGGTATGATGGCCAACTTGTCCCATCCCAGGAGGACCAGGCTTTCCCTGCTCAAACCTTTCTCCTTACTCCTCCCCTGATTGGCCACAAGACAAGCTCAGCTTTAGACCCTTAGTGGGAATACCTAAATACTTTTCAAATAAGAGAAGAACAACACTGAAGAGGAGATGGTTGAAACCCAGTTTATTAGACCAGAGGCATGCGTCACCCAGAGCCCTGCCTGCTGTTCCCCTATCCAGTGCACGCTTCTTGGCCTTGTTCCTGCTTCCTTCTGGGGAGGTATGACCTCTAAGGAACTCCTAGAAACCAAGAGTTTCCAAAGATCCTATAGCCTTACTCTCCAGCTCCAGACAAATGCACAGGTGACCTGCCCACAGGTCCTGTTCTGGGATTGGAGACCAAAAGACATCTGGGCAGAGAAGGCCTGGGAAGGGGTTGGGGCTCTGGCCTGGGAGGAGTGAGTGCCTGGTGGAGGGGGTAGGGCAGTCCCTCCACTTCACTAGTCTCTCATAAAGGTAGGGAGGGACAGAATAGTAGAGCTTTCCAACTCCTCCTATAGGCCTGTATCTTTCCTCCCACCAAACCCTACCTCACCAGAAAATATAAGTGGTGGGCTTGGATATCCCGTGAGGAAGGGGGGCTGGGCACCCAAAAGGAAGGAAAGGCCACTGACTGAGGACCTCAGCTTCTGCCTGCCAGCAACCTGCTGCCCTGGCTTCAGGAGTCACCAATCTCCAGCTCCCTTCTGTTTCTGACACTCTTGGCTTATTGTCCAGAACAGATCTCCATCCCCTAGGTAGGGGCTATCTATGTAACAACCCCTTCCCTGGGGAGGCCACAGTCAGCTGGGCAAAGGGCATTGGGATGGGTGGAGCAGGGGAAGGGAATGTTAAGGCTGCAGGGAGCGCAGAGGGTGCCCAGGTTGTGGGGAGAGGACAAGGCCAGAAAGAGGCAGAGCTTGTGATTCACAGCTTCCTTTGTCGCCACCGAGACAGTGCGAAGGTTACAATGCGCGTGTCGTCTCCTTGTGCTTCTCAGAGGGATGTGTGTACACAGTACAGACACCAGGGGAGAAAGTCCAACTCTTTATACAGGCGAAGGCATTCAGAGACCAGGAAGGGGGCAGAAACATAGAAGGGGAAACTTAGGGTGGGAGGATGGTTCTCAGAGACAAGAGGGGATGGGGTAGAGACAGACAGGGTTAGGGGAAAGTATATACAGAGATATAGCAATATAGAGTCTGTATCATATAGAAATAGAAAATGCAGATGAGGTTGTTGAGAGAAGCAAATGAAGTTGGGGAAAAGGACTTGGGAGAGTTCCATAAGAAAATTTATGGATGTGGCCTCTGCAAGGGCCTCTGGGAGAGAGACCAGTGAGGTCAGGCACCAGTGCCCCTCTCCCTGAGCTGGAAGCTAACCAGCCAGGTCTTTTATGGGATGGTAGAGGAGGGCTGCCTCTTGGGATTTCTCTCCAGCATCTTTGGGGGGGGGTGAACTTGTGATATCAGGACATGACCTACAGCACCAGGGCCACATCTCGTCCCCATCTCCACTTCTTCAGTGAATCCCCCACTCCCACTCCCTAGAGATTCCACATGGTGTAAGGGAGTGGGACTGGGATTTTATTCCTGCCTGGCAACTTGAGTTTGGGGGCAGTCATTGGGGCTGAGAGGGTCTCTTAAGGCTGGGGAAGCCCCCCCACTAGCCCTCCCCCTTAAGGTACATTCTCTGGTTTTGGGCCAAATTCCAGACCCCAGGGATCCCTTCCACCCCTCACTGGGAGGGGGCTTTGGTGACTGGTGGCAGCAGAATGTAGGTGGACACTCAGATGACATACAGCCAGACAGACAGAATTCAGGCTGAGAGCTAGGGGAGGCAGCATGGAGGAGAGAGGGGCAGCTTGAGGTCCCTTGCCCCATTCTCCCTTTTTAGTTTCTTTTTTAGATTTAGATTAGTTTAGTTTTGTTAAACATAAAAAGAATGGGATCGAGGCAGGCAGAGGACTCCATGATTCAAGACTCCTTCCTCACCACAGACAAGAGGAAAGAATCGCCCGGGAGGAGTGGGCGAGTCCCCAGGGCAGGTGGGGGGGGCAGCTGGGGACCCCCTCGTTCTCCTAGCCCTCCCCATCTAGGCCTTTGGTTTAGTGGCCTGCAGGGCTCAGCAGGTAAAGTCCTCAAACGTGCCTCGGGCTGGATGGTGAGGTAGGATGTTGGCAGCGTACGTCATCCCGGCAGGATGGCCCCGGAGGCTCTCGCACGGGTTCTAGGGGAAGGGCACCGACAAGAACTAGTTATCGGAAGGGCCACAGGTAGCGCTGGGGCGTTGGGGAGGCAAAGGAGAGAAGGCAGCATAGGGGTGGGGGGATCCTGGGGTGGTGGGGGAAGGGGCGGGCCGGAGAGCGCCCCTAGCTCGCTCCCTCACGTGTCTTTTGACGTCGTCCAGGCTGAGGGCCACGCCCTTGTCCGCGCTGCTCCTTTTGGCCTCCTTCTGGCACTTCCCCCGTCGGCACAGCTTGTGCTTGAGGACCTAGCACAGGGGCGGGCGCGTGGGCCGGCTGGATCCCCGCCCCCCGCGTGGCCACGCCCCCGGCGCCCCGCCCCCCCTTACCTCGTAGGCGTAGTCGAAGAGCTCCAGCACCGTGAGGATGCTGGCCCCGATGAACAGCCCCATCTGGCCCCCAATGTCACCTGCGGGGGTGAGGGGCGCAGGAAGGTCAGTGGGGTCAGGGCACCGTGAGGGCATCAGGGCTTACTGGGACAGGGGCAGGCAAATCGCATTCGCAAAGGGATTGGCAGCCTTCGTGCAGAAAGATCGCAGAGGCAGACTCTGGTGGCTTTTTAATTTTCCTCTGTATAATTATCTGCATTTTTCTACTTTTCTAAAACGAACAGGTGTTTTTCAGGAAAAACAATTGTTTACAAAATACACCAACACTCTTAGTCTCTGGGCCAATTTTAGGAGCATGTGAAATAGTCTCCACCTCCACCACCTCCCCAACCCCCACGCCTGTCTTTTCCACTTTGCCCTAAGAAAAGGCTCAGATCCCTTTCCTCACCACATACCAAGACAACAGGGTTTGGGGAAGGCACTGGGGATGGGGGGCCCTCATGGGACAGAGGTGAGCACCTTGTTTTGGGTGACAGGGAGCCACACCATGCCCATGGCATGGGAAGGGGACAGGTGCCATTGGCAACTCACCCAGGAGCCCTGCAATCTCGTAAGCCTTCTTCTGTTCAATGGTCTCATAGTTGAGGACTTCAAAGAAAATGTCCAGCACCAGGATGTTCTCCCTGCACAGGGGTTGGGGGAGGAGAACTAGGTTCAAGTCATATCTCTGCCTCTTATTAGCCCAGTGACCTTAGCAAGTCAGCCTCTCTGAATCTCAGTTTCCATATCCATAAATGAGATGCTGATGGAGTTCCCTGCCTTTTAGGGTTGTTGTGAGGGTTAAATGAGATGGCATGTATGAAAAATGCTCTGCAGACGGGCCAGTATGAGGTGATCCCAGTTATGGTAAGAGGATGAAGAGGAGGGAGGAGAAAGGGGTGCTTCCCCTGCTGATTCTCACTCTGCTCTTCCCTCTATACCCACCCTAGACTCTTTGGTTCCCTCTTGGATTTTCCCCGTGCCATCTCAACTTCCTTCTGCCTGCCAGCCGCCATCACACCCCACTCATACCTTTCACAGTCTCAGCCTGAGGGCCTTGCTCTGCACAGTAGAGACCTTACCCTATGTACTGCTCAGACTTGTTGAACTTCTTGGCCAGGTACTTGGCTGAGGCTTTGCTGGGGATCTTGACCATGGACAGCTCCTTGGCATAGCGGGTCAGGTTGCAGGGCATTTCGCACACGCAGTACTCCTGGTCCTTCTCCACCAAGAAGTCTGTGCCCAGCCAGGTAAGAGGTGCCAGTTGAGTGGTGGCCTTCTGCCAGCACCTTCCCAACACACACATCCTGGCCCTGCCCAGAGGAACCCTGGGCCCCTTCCTCTTTTCCTGACCTGCTCTTCACCTCAGCCCTGTGCTCCCCTATGCTAATCCTCACCAAGCCTCCCCAGGGATATTTCTTAATCTTATATCTCATTCTCTCAAAGCCCTCCAGTGTCAACCAGCTGGGGAGCTGATGAAAGAGGGTGAAGGCCCTTCCCAGGTGACCCCCATTCATTTTCCATAGGGGCCTCTAAAGATGCTATTCTCAGCCTCACAGTCAGATACAGGTGAGGGTGCAGACTAGTCCAGAAATTATCTAAAGCTTCTGGGAGCTTGGTCTGAAACCCATGTGCATGTGGCTGGCAGCACCTTTTCCCTCCCCCAAACTTCCCCAGGACAGGGCATCTCACCCAGAGCAGGATCTGCGCACTCCTTGTACTGCTCTGGAGTGCAGTATGGGGCATCCCCTAGAGAGGAGAAAAGACAGTGGTGCCGGATGGAGATTAAAGGGGTCTTGTGATGATGGAAGGCCTAGGAGGTGGAAGCTGGAGAGAGTAGGGAGGTAGGCCTAGCCAGTCCTCAGTCTGCCCTGGAAATAGCCCCCTCCCAGTCCATCCCTACTAGGCCCCTCCCACCTATCCTTTTCGGAACAGGCATGATTTCAGGTCAGAGAGACGAAAGCCAGATGGGTATGGGATGGGGCAGGCTGGAACTGGGGTGAGGAGGTTGACATGAATGGGAAGCTGGTGAGGGGCAATGCAGGTCAAGGGACCCCAGGATTGTGCTTGGAGCCTTGGGGCCTGACCTGGCATGTGTACCATGCGGCAGTTGCAGTTCTCCACCAGGTAGCGCGTCTCACAGTCAATGCGGCAGGCGGTGATGCTGTAGGAGTCGAAGAAATCCAAATCCGAGTCCGTGGTAACAGTTTTGCAGGTGCCCCAGGGCGGGGGCAGGTAGATGAGCTGCTGGGAGAGCCGGGGAGCTGGGGGAGTGTGGGGCTTCTCCCCGAGTTACCCTGATGGACTTCTCTAACAAAATGCAGAACTCAGGAGTTCTGCCCCTTCTCCCTCTGCAGCCTCTGAAGGTCTCAGAGTTTACAGAACACTCTCATTCATTAGATAATTTGTGCTTCTGACAAGCCAGATGACCACATAGGCCCTAGCTCACCTGTCCTTCCCATTCTTGTCACCCACCACTCCATCTTGACCCCTCAACACCCTACCCCAGACCCGCCTCCCATAGTCCTCTCACCCGCTGCTCCTGGCAGGCCACAAAGGTCTGGAAGCCTGGGGCCACGCCAAAGCCCAGCTGGTCGATGAAAGGAGGCTCATCCTGACTATGGATCTGCACTTTGATGCCTGCTTCGAAGGAGGTCTCGTCTATGGGAAAGAGGGTGTGTGGGTTGGGAGGGCTTCTGACTCCCCAATTCCCTTCAGAGCTGGGGGCATTCGACCTCTCCTGGGAATAAGCACAGCACACACTGGGACCGGGATGGGGGAGTCTGTGGATCCTAGCCCACCCCCAGCCTCTTTCCAGGTTTCCCAGCTCCATGCCGCTCTGATGACCCCTGTGTCCTACACACTTGTGTCCTTACCTGGCTTCTGCTTTGCATCTTGGTGTTTCACATTCTCCCACAGTGTCACTGTCTCAGACGCTCTCCATTTCTCCCCCTCCCTTTCTCCCTTCTCCCCCATCTCTCTCTGCCCCAAGGCCCCCCGAGACCAGACAGGCAGGCAGCCCAGGAAGAGAGGGAGTTATTTATAGAGTGAGTGGCGGCCGCTGATGGAAAAGATGACTGGTTACCTTGGAGAGTGACTGAGCCAGGAAGGGGGAGCCAGAGATATGTGAGCGTGGAAGTCAGGTAGAGTCGGAGATGGAGGTGGCAAGACTCTGGGGGAGGGGGGAGCCCGAGCCCTGCCAGGTCCCACAGTGGAGCCCAGGAGTCCCCTGGTAGAGGCTGGGGCCAAGAGCCATGGGGAGGGACCCCAGGGGATGACATACCAGTCTCCCCCCACACTGGCAGGTACTCGTCCTGCTGGATGTCCAACATGATTTCCAGCCCATTGCCTGTCCCACCCTTCATGGTCTTCAGCCTCGGCCGCCCATCTCGGCCAGAGTTGAACGTGTAGCACTTTCCATACCGTGTGAAGACCTGGTGAGGGCAGAGTGGAGAGCCTGAGAGTCCTGCCAGCACCCCCTCCTCACTAAAGGCTGTCCCCACATCACCCAGCTGCTGGAATCTCAACACCCTTTGGAAATGATTCCTTCTGTGGAGCCCATTCTCCATCTGTTCCTCTCTCCCACCTGTTCTCTACACTTCTTTGCCCTGCTGTGCCCTGGAAAGCTGATCTTGGTGGGGTACATCACCTGAGCTCCTTTGCCACCTGCATGGGCTTCTGGTTGTGTTTGGCCAATGGGAGCATCAGTGAGGGATCAGACAGCAGGAGGAAAGACTGAGTACTGATCCTTCTCCACCCCTCCCCTCTGTAATCCTGGCAGTGTTTTAGGCCCTCCGTGACTACAAATCCTGCCAGGAGAGCTCCCTGCAGAGCACTGTTTCCTTTTGTGCTCCTTCAGCCTAGACAGGATAACAATTTCCTACTCATGCTAGCTGCCTTAACCCCCCTCATGGGTTTCCTTAACCCTGCCCACAGCTGTCAACAGTCCCTTTGTTAAAGTCTTTTCAATAGAACCATCAAGCAGTAATCTTTTCCCTGCAGGGACCCTGACATATGCACCTTCATCACTAGGATCCTGTCCCAGCCAGACCTCTGGTCCTTCCTTGGGACCCTCCCCACAGACCCAAGCTCCTGAGGCCTTCTGAAACATGTCTCCTCTTCATCTAGATTTCACCCAGGTGTCTGAAATCCTGCTCTCCCCGAGACCCAAGCTAACGTTTTTTATTTCCTTCATCCATTAGCCCCTTATGTCTATCCCATTATCACTAGAAATGGAAAGTAGACCCAGTTGCCATGCCAAGGACCATGCTCACCCAGGCACCAGCACCTCTCCTCCCAGCACCAGAGACTGAGCACCCAAGGCATGGCATGTTTTTTTGTTTTGTTTTGTTTTTTTTGAGACAGAGTCTCGCTTTGTTGCCCAGGCTAGAGTGAGTGCCATGGCGTCAGCCTAGCTCACAGCAACCTCAAACTCCTGGGCTCAATCGATCCTACTGCCTCAGCCTCCCGAGTAGCTGGGACTACAGGCATGCCCGGCTAATTTTATATATATATATATATATATATATATATATATCAGTTGACCAATTAATTTCTTTCTATTTATAGTAGAGACGGGTCTCACTCTTGCTCAGGCTGGTTTTGAACTCCTGACCTCAAGCAATCTGCCCGCCTCATCCTCCCAGAGAGCTAGGATTACAGGCGAGAGCCACCACGCCCGGCCGAGGCATGGCATGTTTGAGGACACTTTTGCAGAACTAGGAGGGCCTCAGAAGGTTACTTGGGCCTGGGGGCAGTCTCCCCAGCTCCCCCAACTCCATGCCCCAGCACAGCCCTCATCACAGTTCTGATCACACAGCTGCAGAGAGGAGTGTAAACCAATTCTTCATGGCCCTTTTCCTATAGCCTCCATGAATGTCCTCAGGTTCCCACAAATGGGGTAAATGTGGTTTGACTACTGCTGGATGGTGACAAAGTTCACAAAGTGAGCCATAAGGCCAGTACAGACACTGCTCAGAGAAGGGAAGAGACAAAAGAGTTTCGGGCTAGACTGGAGAAGCGGGGGCAGTGATGGCTACTAGGAAATAGTCTTTACTCCCTTCCCGCTTCCTAGAACAGCCTTCCCCATGCCCGTCTAGAAAAGAAAACATGCTGCCCTCCCCCATTTTGTGGGTGAGGTCCAGAGATGAGGCTAAGAGAGAACTCTGAGGGCTCCTAATCCCGCAGCCACGCTACCAGGTCTTGTGGCACTCAGCCACGAGCTGCAGGCTGGACACCCCAACTCCGGAGGAGGCGCCCCAGCCTTGCTCTGGCTTAGAGGTCCTGGAGCTGAGCGGTGGGTTGCTGCTGCCACCTGCTGGTTCTGGGTGAGAAGTGTCTGCTCTACCCTCAGGCACAGAGGAAGTTGGTTCACCCCTTCCTTGTCCCATGTTCCCATATCTGCTGGCCTTCCTGAGGCCCAGTGGCCCAAACCCCTAGGTCTCTCTGCATGTCGGCAGTCATCCCATGGTGCACTGATATGATGACACGTAGCTGCTTTGACAGTAGGAAAGAGGTGGGGCACTGAGGGATGGTGTAGGAGAGGGAAGGCCTAGCATCTGGACCCTGGTAGGCAGGAGGGCATTCGGGCCAGACAGAACTGGAAGGTGAACTGAGAAGAGGAGCGGGTGTCAAGTGGTCCCTTAGCAGAGAAGGCCCCAAGTCCCTGAGTGGGAGGGCCAAGTGGGAGAACAACTCTCCTGGTGGGGGCTTCTGTGGGATAAGAGTCCCAGGCCACTTAGTCTGAGCTGGAGGGAAGGGGAATGACATAGAAGAGACCTGTTATTCACCCTCAGACACACACACAGACACAGCTGGGGGGGCACCCATAGGAGAGAAACAGGAAGACGGAGTGAGGGTCTATGAAGTCCCTGCTGTGGGAGCTGCTGACAAGGGATGTGGTGGGGTGGAAGTGGGGTCTGTCCCTACTCCTCCATCGTCTGCCTTCCATCCCCTCTCCCGCACCTCCAGAGACCAGGTAGCACCCACCCAGCTTCAGTCCAGGGCTGACAGTCAAAATAGTGAACAACTGGCCAGGCATAGGCATCTGCCAACAGGTCAAAGGTTGACCTTACAGATGGAGCAAGGTCCAGAGGCCCTGCTGGACCATGAGGAGGTCTGGGGAGGGGCAAGTGAGGATGGAGACACCAGGGGCCTCAGGACAGCAGCTAATTACTAATCAGGACAGACACAGTTCAAGATTCTAATAGGAAGTGCGGTACTGGTGTGGACCTGGGAACGTCAGCCGGCTCCAGACCCTGGGCTCCTGGGTGAGCACTGGCCCAGGCGGGCCGGGCGAGGTGGGGGCAGCATGGTCACTACCCCAGGAGATGGTGGTCAGGGAGAGCCATGGCAGACACTCTCAGGGTGCTGTACCAGGTGTGGGCCCCCACTCACCACTGAGAAGTTGTGGGGGCCACAGGGCCCTCCTTGGTAGGAGCAATAGAGCAGCATGTCCTCCAGCCGGTGGCAGGAGCGATTGTAGAAGCGGTGCAGGTTAAAGGGCTCCCCAGAGAAGGCCTCAGGCCCTGGTGGAGCCAGGGGCACCCCAGGGTCATCACTTTCATCCAGCCCCAGCATGGGGGCCAGGTAAAGTAAGTCGGGGTAGCTGAGCTGGGACAGCCGCACAGCATTGGTGTTGCACAGGGTGACCGCTGGGAAGGCCAGCTCCGCGGTGGTCACTTCATGTAGCAGAGTCACATGTGGGTAGCTGAGGTAATAAGCAATGCGGTCCCCTACCTGGCACAGGAAGGCACCCAGTGCCAGGACAAAGGCCACTGCCCACAGGGCCTGCTTTGGTCCTAGACCCCCCTCCACAAAGACGTGGTTGGCGCCGTGGAGAGTGCAGCTATTGGCAAAGGCCACCAAGTCCACGGGTAAATCCCTCTCATTGGCCTCCTTCCTCGCTGCCTCCTTTTCCTTCTCTTCTTCCTCCTCTTCTGACTCTGAGTGGTCCCGCTGCTGCTGCCGCCGGTGGCAGGGACCCCAGGCATCTCCTAAGGGCCCTGGAGCCTCCTCTCCGGAGGAGAATGACACAGAGCAGAAGATCTGGATGGGCATCTTCTCCAGGGGCCTCCTGGTACCAGGGGGTTGGCAGGAGAAAAGGGGAAGGTGCCGGAGGGGAAGGACAGGGTCCGGCAGGGCCGGCCACCCAGCCCGCCTGCCGGGTGTCCGCTGCCGCTGGGGCTGGCTGTCCTTCCTAACCCGGCCTCTGGGGCAGAGCGGCTGAGATGGGCGGGGCGTGGAGGGGAGGACCAGCCTGCCCTGCCAGGGAGGGCGGGCGTCTGGCTGATGAATAATTGATGGCAGCGGCAAAGGGAGGCTGATAGAGAGGAGGGGGCTGCAGCCCCCTTCCTGTCAGCCGCTCCGGCAGCACAAAGGGGGTTTAAGACAGAATGGAGACCCTGGAAAAGGACTGGGACTCCTGGGACCCACCTCCCCAGTGAGGGGGGACTTAGCACAGTCATTTGTTCCCAGTGCCGTGATGACCTCAGTGGACAACAGTTCCCCCACCCAGGACACCCCCCCATGCTCTCTCTCATCCTCCAGTCTGCACCTTAACACCCCTCAGCACCCCCCATCCCAATTCTGGGTCTTCTCCCTCATTCTCACCTGGCTGAGTTATTCCTCTGGGTTATCTGAGCTCCCAACCTCCGCATGCTCTCAGACCTCTAATTCCTCTCTAATTTCTCTTGGCCACAATTTCCCTAATTATTTCACTGACGCCCAATTCTCCCAACCTACCCTACACCCTGATCCCCTCGAATTCTTCCTTTGATCCCCAGTTCCCTTCCAATCCCTCCCTGACCCCAATTAACTTTCTGTTACTCCCCAAACCCCCAATTCCCCTTGATCCCCAAGTTCCCTCCAGCCAGTCCCTGGCCCCAGCTCTACTTCAGGTCAGCTTTGCCCACCCCCATGCTGAGCTGAACTGAGGTCCCTTTCTCTTCCCCTTCCCCCACCCACTTCTGTGGCTTGTGGGGCAGCCCAGGTTCCATTAGCAGAGTTCTCTCACTGACCACAGCCTCATTTCTGGCCAGTTCCCGGCACTGGGGGGGAGGGACCCTGTCTCTTGGAGCTGGAAAGCTTCCTGGCATTTTGCCACTGCCCTTTCAGCTTGCCTGCACCCCAAGGTTCAGAAAAGGAGTTTGAGGAATCTCTGTGGGTTGAAGAAATTAAGATCAGTGCAGAGACAGGGTGATCCTGGGTCAGGTGGAGGCATCACGAACCAACCTGGCGTTCTCCTTAAAGGTCCCAGTCTCGCAGACCCCCTGACCCCTCAGGTTCTGAGGCTTCCCTACCCCTAATTTACCACTCCCTGCCCCCAGGCCCCTGGCCCCTCTGTGTGCTCTGATTACTCAGGCCCATTGGTTGAGGAACTTGAGCCACCAGCCAAGTCTCTAGGGCCAAGAAGGTGACCTGAGTGGCAGAGAGG